CGCACATCGGTGTCTTTGTTTTTAACGACAGGATCAGCACGCTTGTACTATGAATCACATGAATGATAAGAATGCGGTGCATCCAAACTCGCCTTTGTCCCTTCCACCAAAATATGTGCATGCGGAATTATCTTCTTGGGCAGCGAGAGGCCCAAAGCCAACAAAATTGCCGGCCAGAGTATAGCGTGAAAACTAAAATAGAGAGTAGTGCATGAAATCAACATCATGGATAGCCGCCAACACCGCCCTGGAGACCAGACTTCCAAGACGAATTGCGGCTATTTACCGAAGAATATCTTTGCCGATAAACTGACAATCCGGTGGCCAAACCGCCTGCTTATTCACAGCAGAGTTCAGAAAAACCTTTCCTGCCGTTAGGTAATTCATCAGAGCATCAAACCATACATAGATCTACAATAAATCACAGTAATTTAGACAGGATCAGAGTGGGTTTAATAAAAGCGTGATGCTAACAGTTTGGTCGGGTCTGCCAGGAACAGGAATGCCCCAGGGGACTCTTGCGCTGGGTCGCGAGACAGAGGGATCTTGGAGAAGATCGAGACTGGAATGAGTCAGCGCCAACAGTCCATCATGTTCCGGCGATTGGTGAGGAAGGACTGGGCAAAAAAGAGGAAAAATAAGTGATACCTCAATGAGGAAAGTATGGGAAGAGTCGTCTCATATTTCGCTTCGAGCGGTATTTCACGTGCCACTAACACTGCTTTTACACAGGAGTAGCATGAAACTCGGCTCACTTGTAATCATAGACGAGCATAATGAGTAACAAGAAAAATATTGAGCCTATCTGGACGATAGTAAACTTTTACAACTTAGGAAGCGATCATAGATGTCCGCATACCAAGTTGCATTGAGATCAAGTTCAATGACTCGGCAATGCTCAAGAAATTCGAAGATGAAATTAAGGGCTTTTAGTGCCAAGAGCATTACGAATTTGGCAAAAGATAACCGAAATTGGCCTCCACATAGAATCTTGATACCGTGCCAGTTTCAACACAGAGCTTTCATCATTCATCTTAACCCCAAACCAAAATGAGATAAGAGACAACAAACTCCTGAGTTATTCTTGAGATGAGTAAGCCTTTTGCAAAAGCCCAAAGCCTCACTTGTCTACTAGGCTAAAGGGGGAAAGAAGATTTGAAAGTAAAGAAACGAATTTAATAAAAAATGGGATCAAAGCGCTTATAGGATCCAATTAGGAGGTTTAAACTCAGGAGTAAAATTCACCCACAGATCAAAGTCAACCCTACAAAACTTCCTCCGTTTCAACTAAACAGACATGGTAGACAAACTAACCTCCCGAGTCCAGCCATGCATGAATTTTAGCCTTTAGGGGTGAGAGGCAGAACCGACAGGTCTCCTCCTCCACCCAGTTCACCTCGCTGTGTGTAGTCTTCGCAACCTTAGTCCCACTCAAAGAAGGCGAGTCGACAACCTCCCAGTCTGCGTAGAAAGTCTCGTCGCTAATTGAGTACCACCCGGCAAAAGTGCTCCAGTAGAGGAAGCCCGACCGTTCCAGATATCGCTTCAATCCCCCCAGGAGTTAGCTGAAGCGACCTTACCCAAGCTTCGTAAACTGTGCGTTTGTGAACCTCACTAGTGGTTCGAGTGAAGGCACCTGTTGAGATGTTCAATTTCTCACAGAGATCCTACATTAATGACTGTCATAAGGAACGCTGAACCTGCCTTGAAAGTCAATGATATACGGTCGCAGAGATCATTTGGAGAGCAGCCCAAATTAGCCGCAGTATGAGCAATCTATAAAAAGTTAGCGAAGTTTTATCAACCAACGAAAAATCAACATCCTTTCAGGTATCTAGTTACACACCTTGCTGCCGTGTTCGTCGACACCAGTGCAAAGGAAACCGGTTTGAGAGGATGGTGGTCTTAAAAAAACGCGTTGAGGGGGAAATGCCTGAAGACTGGGATGATGTCGCATGGCGGAGAAACGCGACCACGCGTCAGCCATGCAGAGGGTGTAGGCATGACCGATATGAGGTTCTAAATCAAACATAAGGCCAGATTTCAGCCCGTTTCTTTCCAAGACTGGATAGATTAGCATATATGCTGGTATCAAACTTGACTACAGGGTTTATTACAGTGCCCTCGACCTTCGTGACAGAACCAAACGCCTTCGGGAGTGACTTTGGGAGAACAACACAAGTCTCCTCAATTAGGAATTACTTGAAATTTTCACAAAGACTGCTAAAAACAAACAGGTTGGTATAGAAAGCTAGTCTCGTGTTCCTCACAATGGGGAACAAATTATAAATCAGCGTAAAAAATTGACTGCCAAAGACCAGAATCGTTATTATTCCAGCGCATTATTAATTCGCTATACTCCATTCCTCTTCGACAAACAACCCAAAGTGCTACACATGTATAAGGTGATACTGATGGAGAAGGTACTAGAAGGAACTCTCACACTGCCCTTAGCCAATGCGTCATTACGAATCAGTAAGCACGCGAAGAGTCAGCTGCAATAACATGACACGAATAAGTGTTTCCTAATCAATCTCTGTGGCTTATTGCATCTAAAAATCTCCCAAGTATAATATGCATAGCTTCCACTTTTACCAAATGCATTCTGGTGGAGAATTGAAAAGTATCGTACAAACGGTTTAATGGGCGTGGTCTGCAGGCAGAAGAAAAAAGTACAAGAATTTAACAAGGTCAGACGATTCAACCAACTTACTCGCATTGGCATAAAATATAGGAGTTGTGATGAAAGCTGATCGAGGTCGCATTTTAAGGGAAAGCAAAGAAGGTCGCTAAAGTAAACAAAGCAGAAACAATTTGGTTACTTAATAATCAAAATCTACCAAGGAAGCTTTAAAACGGTCACTTCAGCACAATACTAAGTCATTTTGCTTCTCATTCAAAGTTGCAGCCCATTCGTCCCACATCTTTCATGCAAATGAGGTAGAGCAATATCATTACAATTAACGAAACACGAGCCATCCTTGACTTCCAAACGTCAGTACTGAGCAGAAACATATGTCCAAAAGATCAATGACTCAAGCAATCAGTTCTGCAACTATATCATTATTAACAGAGTCCCAAGTATAGTTTAATATTTCTTTGGAGGAGATATTAATGCATGGGAGATAAACTTATAGTACTGATAAGTTGCCACAAACAATAAAATGTCGAACCAAACGGTGTTGATTACAAACACTCGGGTGTTAAGGAAGCTTTCAGAAAGCCAAAAATGTAAAATCAATGCTCAACGAACCTTACATTCAAGCAAACTCCCAAGACGTTTAACAGAGCTAGATTGGTAGAACAGTCCCACTCGAGCTGCATCAGCCCGCACGATGCCACTTAAATCGTGTCAACCAGTTAGAAATTGGCACAGGCTATGAAGCCAATCCCACAATTAGGAGTTAATTTGGTCACCGAATTCAGTGAACTTGGGAACAAATAATTTGTTTCCTGACAGAAACGTTCTTATATTGCAAATAATCTTTGCTTAGTTTTCATTAACAC